ATCTCTGAGCTCAAGTTGTCTGTGTACTCTAACCCCTAACAAGCTGTCATTATATTTCAGAAAACATCACCGCATGTCTTCTTCCACTAGATGAGGGGAACTGTCGGGGTCTCCTCCCCCAATATTATTATAACCGGTACACGCAGATGTGCGAAGAGTTCTCCTATGGAGGCTGTGATTGCACAAACAAGAACACCCTGATGCATTGCCCACAATATTCACCTAAAATCATAAAAGAAAAGAGAACCCCTAAATACTTTGGCTGCAGAACCCAATGCTACGGGATACCAAGGCAGCGGTCCTGCAACCAAATACTAGGCGTTGCTATTAGTTACCATTAGTGGCTCTACATGAACTGTAATACTCCCCTTTTGGTAGAGACCACATGGTCCATACCTTGGCATTTAATCACACAACACTCTCTTATGGGATCACAAAGCAGCAGTTGCCTCTGACAAGTTATTTCTAGACTTCTGTTAGCTGTTATGACTAATAGGGAATGGGGCAGACAGGATTCTGGTCGGGAGCTCTACATGACGTTGAGTTCACATTAACGGACCACCAGGAAACACTGCCTACTTGTCTTAGTTTTCATCCAGGTTGTTTCATCTGGTGCACCAGACACTCCGGTCCTCATGTCGGAAATCTGAATATCTGAGAACCCCTGTTTTTGATCCAGGGGAGGAATTTCCTAATGCACCCACCACCTGTTTCTATAGAAATAATGATGTAAAAAAAAACAAAAACATTGACAGTATTTAGAAAATTCACACAGCAACCAATTGGATTTGTACCCAATTGTAATTGGTGATAGAGTTAGAAGAAAATGTTACACAGTGGCAGCTTTAGAAACTTCTAGTGGCCCTGCAAGGTGCCCTCTGGTTTCTGGTTGCAGGAAATTACACAGAATGCAGATTAAAGATGAGTTAATGTTGAAGGTTCATTCAGTTTCCCTTAATTTGAATTGATTTCCAGTCCACTTGAGTCAGAGAACACATAGAACACCTCACAGGGTCACAGGAAATGTTATACCTGTGCAGTGCAATTTCTTTCTACTGCTTGTAACACAAGCAATTGTTTTTTTTACATTGGGTTTACCTGTATTGTGAGAGACAGCAAAGAGTCTGCCGTGGGTGTGTTTCTGAATTTCTCTCCGGCATCTTAAGCCAGGGTTCTGAGATCATCAGATTACTGCCAAAAGTGATGGGGGCGGATTGGTATACTAAAGCAATGTCTGGATGAAAGAAAAAGACAGGCTAAGCTGGTAATATGCTCCCTCAATGTATGATAGTTTTATATTCTAAATGAAGTGTTCCTTTAAAAATGAGTGTGCTTACTGGTCAGAGTACAGTTCCATGTAAAGAATATGCGGGATCAGGGGTCTAACTACAGATCATGACGTTCTATATCAAAATATTGGCCTCCAGTGACCTCCCTAATACCAATGATCTAAACCTATGTATGTCTAAATCAAGGACAGATAGCAGAACTGTCATCATAGTCAGTACACTACTAGAGAGCAGAGCTGTGGACAGTTGTCAGGGAAAATGGAGCAACTGTGCAGGTAAATCAGTTTGAAGCTTCACTTTCTAGCTAGCTACTTTTTTTTTGAGGAACTACAAACAGCTGTTGTGTCACTTTTTATCTGAGAAGACACTCTGTGGATCAGACTGCATTTTTAACAGCCTGAGGAAGACTACATTAAGCATACAGGGTTAATTTCAGTGCTGGCCAGGATGTCCAAAGACTTTGAGGGCAATACATCTACACTACAAAGTCAGTTAAGTTCTCCTTACTGCACATCCTGTATTGGGGATCTGTGACTAGAGACAGTCTGAAGTCTCTTCCTGTGTTTAAGGTCAGCTCTTCTTGCTTGGAAATATCACAGGGGGTACTGGGCCAGTGTCAACAGCAACCTCTGCAATCCTTAATGATACACACGCATGCACACAGATCTTCTATGTTTAAATTGCCTCCATGCTCCCCTAATGGGCCCCCCTTCCGCCCCCCAGAGCTCAAAGCATCTGTGTGGTCTGCATTGGCTACTGTTACACCCCTGGGCAGGATGTGATCTCTCACGCAAATGCCAGCAGGGAGACCGCAGAAGGAAACCTTATGTTATGTCTTCTGGGCTCACTAAATACTAGCAGAAGTCCTCAGGCAGTGATGGACAGCGACTGGAGACCAGTATGTGATAGTTTACTGAAAAGCTGGATTTTGTCACCATTCCTATCTATGGTTAACGCCCATCCAATAGTAACTAGGTATGTTATTTGTTTTGTCTTGCCTCTGTGTTGGTCATCAGTATCGTTACAAATATGTTTGATTCTGCTTACTATGCTTGCATTTTGCTTTGCTCCCTATTAAATGTAAGTGATTTCCATACTTACCCAGTAAATGTTATTGCAATGTAAACACCCCATCAGGACCTCACCAGACTGAAGCTAAAGGAAGACA